ACAATGACCAAGGAGGATAGAAGGAGGATTGATGCCTTTGAGCTGTGGTGCTGGAGAAGAGTATTGAGAATACCATGGACTGCTAGGAAAACAAACAGATTTGTCCTGGAAAGGGTTAAACCGGGTGGCTCCTTGGAGGCAAGGATTCTGAGGCTCCGTCCAACATACTTTGGACATGTTGTGAGGAGAGACCAGTCCTTAGAGGGACATCATGCTTGGGAGGGTGGAGGGACAGCGCAGGAGAGGAAGGCCCTCTATGAGGTGGACTGATTCAGTGACTGGGATAATTGGGATGGGAGGGTCAGAGACAGTGCAATTGGCACAGGACAGAGCGGAGTTTAGGGCTGTTGTACATAGGGTCGCTATGAGTCGCAAGCGACTTGACGGCACATAACAACAACAACAACATTAGCCACAAGTCATTTACTTCTTTTTGTTAGATCTTTTTAAATATATTTGATACCTGATTATGCATATGCAAAACCTATACTAGGACCAGGAGGCAGGTGTCAGAACAGAGCAAGGAAACACTGCATGGTTCAAAATCAGGAAAGAAAAGAAGTATATCAGGGATGCATTCTGTCTCTATACTTTTCCATCTGGACATGGAACAACTCATTAGGGAAGCTGGTCGTTATGAGGAAGAATGTGACATAAGGACTGGAGAAATACTCAACAACCAGTGTTACACAGATGACACAACTCTGTTTGCTAAAACTGAGGAGGGCCTGAAGTATTTGCTGTAGAGGGTAAAGGACTGTATATATAATTTATAATATGGACTGAAGCTAAGCCACCAGAAAAGGCCACCTATGGGTTCATGTATTATACCATCAGAGCTCCCTAGAACTAAAACAACACCAAAAAGTAAACCCATTTTATTATTGTTATTTAGTAACTTCTGTAGTTACAAAAAAAAGAAAAATATATTAAAATATTAAAGCAACTGGAGTGGGAGAGGGTAGAATTATCAAGTACCATGGCTACATAATAGCAACATGAAGGATTCTTATAATGATGGAAATATTCTCTACAAGGACTTTATCAATGTAACATATAGTTGTGGTACTAAACTTCAGAGCTGCAAAATGTTACCACTGGGGTAAATGGATAATGGGTGTATTAGATTGCTCTGTATTATTTCATACAAATACATGTTGTAAAAAATTAAATCACCTTCACCAGAACAGACCTGTTTGTTCTCTTGACAGTCCATGGTTTAAAATATACATGTTCGGTATTCTTCAGCACCACAACTCAAAGGCATCAATTCTTCTTCCATTATCCTTTGTCACTGTCCAGTTCTCAGATGTATAACAAGCAGTTGAGAAGACATGGCCTAGATCAGGTGCGCCTTAGTCTTCACACTGGCATCGCTACTCTTTCACACTCTAGGAGGTCCTTGAGAGCAGATTTTCCCAGTACAACTCAGCTTTTTATTTCCTAACTGCAGGTACCAAGAGTGTTGATGATGGATCTGAGAAAGATGAAACTGTTAACTATCTCATTCTTTTCTCCATCTAGCATGATGTTGCCTATCGACCTGATGGTGACAATCTTTATTTTCTTAAGTTGAGATGCAATCCATACGAAGACTACAGTCAACCTTATGCAGCAAACATGTCAAGTTCTCAGTTTGGGTGAACAAGGTTGTAGCATGTGTATAATGCAGGTTGCTAATGAGTCTTCCCTCAATCCTAATGTCACATTCTTCTCAGAGTCCAACTTTTTGAGTGATCTGTTCAGCATACAGATTAAATAGGTATGGAGAAAGGATACATCCCCAACACACTTTCTTGATTTTAAACCACATATCACAATTTCAGAGACTCTTCATTTTTTTTCTGGCAGAGCAGCTGGTAATTTGAACCAGGAGATGATTTGAACCATGTACCTTTTGGTTGACAACACAACTCCGTACCATGACACCAAAGCACATGTTCTTGCACTGTCTCTCTATGTATATGTGTGTATGTGTGTTTATTTATATAAGTTTATACAAATGTACACACACACATATACATGTTGTTGCTAGGTATTGTCAAGAATGACTCATAGTGACCCTATGAACAGTGGATCTGAACCTCATTCGATCCTATGCCATCCTCACACTTCCTGACACACTAGAGCCCACTGTGACCGTCATCATGTCAATCCACCTGGTTGAGGGTCTTTCTCTGCTGACCCTTCACCCTTCCAAACATCATGTCCTTCTCCAAGGAATATTCCCTTCTAGCAACATGCTTGAAGTATGTGAAGCAAAGCCTCCAAATAACACTCTGGCAGCACCCTCTCCAAGACATTTTCTTTGTTCTTTTGGCAGTCCACGAGACATTCAGTGCTCTTCTCCAAAACCACAACTCAAAGGTATCAATTCTCTTTCTGTCACCCTTATGCATTGTCCAGCTCTCAGATGCATAGCAAGTGGTCAGAAAAAACATGGCCTGAATCAGATGGATCTTAGTCCTCAAACTGAAATCATTACTCCTCAATTATTTGGAGAGGCCACACAAAATAAGTTAAATGAAAGGTCAGTGGTTAAAATCCACTAGTTGCTATGAGGGAGAAAGATGGTCCACCTCTTCCCATATAGCCTCAAAACTCAGTAGAGGGCTACTATGAGTCTGAACCAACTCAACAGTATGCCTACTATTCACATACAGTATATTATCTCTGGAGGTGTACACATAATTCCCCCCCCCCAGAATCATGTGAAGAAGGTAGGCCTATTGCATCAGCACACAATGTGGATTACACCTTAACATAAAACATCTTCAGGATGGATTAAACCTTAATGGCAATAAAAATCCTCACAACTGGACCAAAAAGCAACATTATCATAAACAAAGTGAACAAATAAACAAAATATTTTGACATTGTCAAGGATTTCATTTTACCAGAATCCACAATTAATGGCCATGGTTGCAGCAGTTAATTAATTAAAGGACAAATTGCATTTGGCAAATATGTTGCAAGAGATCTCTTTAATGTGCTAAAAAGCAACTATATGTTGAGAATTATGGTGCATCTAGGGAATTCTGATGGCCTAGTGGCAAGAAGCTGTGCTGCAATCCTAAGGCACATAGTTCAAATTCACCAGCTGCTTCACGGGAGAAGGATGGACAATCTCCTCCCATGCAATTAACTGCCTCAAGAAACTTGCTGGAGGATCAGCTATAGGTCGGTTCCAACCCAATGGGATACAATAATAATCTCATGATGCATCTAGGGAACGCTGGTGGCCTAGTGATAAGGAGTTATGCCATCAACCCAAAGTCATATGCTTTGAATCCATCAGCTGTTCTTCATGTGGGAGGAGAGAAGATGGGCAACCTCCTCTCATATGATTAACTTTAAAATTCTGAAAACCCACTGACGCAACAATACAGTGCATATGAGGTCTAAGAAGCACCTGTGGCAGAGTGCATAGCTTGTTACTCTAACCAAAAGTTCATGACTGTGGCATTGTCAACCACTGTATGGGTATGGTAAAGCTGGACAAGGAAAAAGGACAGTCAAAGAAGTATTATCAATTATGGTGGTGCCAAAGAACACTGAGTATACCTGAACTCCAAGAAGAATGAACAAAACTGTCTTAGAAAAAGCACAGCTTAAATGGTCCTTAGAAGCAAGGGTTGTAAGGCTTCAACTCATACACTTTGGAAGTGTTATCAGGAGGAGTTAGACCCTGTAGTAGGACTTCACTGTTGGCAAAACATAGGGAAGAAGAGGACAACTTTCAATGAGATGGACTGACCCTGTGACTGCAACAGCAAGTCCAAACAAGGCAATGATTGTTAGGATGGGTCAGGACTAGACAGTGTTCTATTCTGTTGTACACAGGGCCACTATGAGTCAGAACCAACTCACTGGCACCTAACATCTGTGTACATAATAGGTGAATCTGACCTACAGAAGTACAGAAGTGTGCTCTCTTTGTTCTATTTTTCATTCTCATAACTTTTCTGTAAGTTTGAAAGTATGTTCAAATGAAAAGCTGCTTTTGTTAAGTGTAAGCAAAAGCTATGGTCATTAAAAATCAGCCATAATCTAGCATGTTGTTGTTAAGTACCCGAGTCCTAGACAACTCATTAGAGACCCTATGAACGAAAGGCCTAAGCACTGTTCATAGAGTTTCCCGGGGCAAGCCATTTTGGAAGTGCATGTGGCCACTCCTGCTTCCAGGCTTGGTTTAATTGGGAAACTCCAGCAAATACTGTCCACCATGGGTAACCATTATCACATTTGGCACATCAGTGTCACGGTGTTCAGCATCACAGCAACCACGAGTTACCGCTGTACAGCAATGAGACCAGTATTATACCACCTTATCCCAAAAAGCGAAAAGTATCTACTAACTGGCCAAATTCTTATATCAAAGAACCCTCTACCCTTCAGTCTGTCTATGCCTCTGGCTTGCTCTCTCTTTTCCTCACACACAAACACACCTGCTTCTGGTCTCGAACTCTCTTAAAAAAAGTGTGTAACAAAAAATATACATCAATTCCACACTTTAAAGACCATTCACAGAAAGTGACACGGTAACCCACTTCATACTTCTTTCTTCCACAAGTCACTGGGAGCATTTTTTTTTTAATTTTATTATTTTTGTGTGAGTGTACCGTCAAATCAGATCTGACTGGTACAGGAGATTGTCCCTCCTTCCCTGGCAGAGAATCTGGTGGATTCGAACCGTGTACCTCTGGGATTGTAGTTGCAGCTCCTTGCCAGTAGGCCACCAGAGCCACTGGGAGCATTTTTACCCTTTATGTTAATCGGCAAAATCACGAGAAACATACAAGAGTTTCTCAAAAGATAAATCATGTTACCAACTTAGCAAGTAGGGGAAGGAAGTTATGGCAGAGACTAGAGGAGACAACATTGAAAATAAAGAAGGGCTGAGAGAAGAATGTAAAAAGACGTAAGCGAGAAGCAAGAGTGTGCTGGCCACGAAAAAGGCAAGTTGGCGCGCGTGTGTCGGCCGAAGGAGTGTAGCTCACCTGGCCGTTGTAAGCAGAGGGTGCCGAGTCCCCACCAGCTTCCGCACCTGCATGGCAATATTGCTGAGCTCGTCGCTCAGGAGGCAGCGGAGGCTCATAAAGGACGTGGGATAGCCCACGATCTTCTCAGCTTCTGACACCACCTGGTTCCAGTGAGCCGGGGACTTGGAGGACTGGCCACGCCAGGAGCCCACTGTGGATATGGGGTTGAGAGATGAGGACCACCACCAGCGACGTAAGGAACTCGAGACCCCGAGATAGCGGGGAAAGTACAAAAACAGCTGCCGGAGGTTCATGATCTGAATCGGGGGCGAATCAAGCACCAGAGTTGTCCGGCGGTGCTGTGGGGAATCAAACCAAGGGAGAAGGAGGAACTTCCAGGGATAAGAAGGAAGCAGCGACTCTTGATCCTCTGGAAGTAGGTAGGCTTTCTGAGACTGTGATCTGAAACGGACTTTAACTGTTGCTTTCTGCAACCCGTACTAGATAATAACAGTTCCAGTTCAGTATTGCTAATGATCACGTGGAATTGAAACCACGGACGCTATTTACATGGGGGACGCCATATTAGAGGCGTGGAATGCGGCTGCCGTAATGATGGAGGCGGGCTGTTAAGTAGCAAAGAATACTCCCTATTTTACGGCGCAGTCCGGGAACGCCCCTAGGGGCGGGCCTTTAAAGGTGGACCCGGGGAAAGCGAAAGGCCGGGTGGAAGTTGTATTCGTCCTGCCGAGCTTTTCGACGTTTGAGAGGTTCGTTATAGGGATTTGTACTCCTTAGTTCCCATCTGCCTCAAATCTGGGCTTGATCTAATTCGTCCGAGAATTCTCGGCGCTCAGCATAGAGTTAGGTCACTTAAGCCTTTGTATCATGGACGAGGATCAGTAATTTACCCGTAAGAAAAGACATCTGGCTTTTAATCTGCCACCCGAGTTTCTGGAGCTATTCCTTTTGTGGGTTCTGTGGTGGTACCCCATGCCTGTCGTGGGACTGAGCTCTCTTGCCTTGGTGCTCAGAGCACCTAGCCAGATAGCAGACTCGCTCTTCCCAAAATAGTTCCTCGAATTATTGACCTAATCACTAGCCTCCTCACTGAGCCTTAGATTTCTCTTTGTATGGTTTAGGCAGAAGGGTTCTGTCTTGCCTTCTTCACGAGAGTGTGGAGAAAATAGAATTAAACCGGCCTGCGCCGCCACCCTGGTCTTTCATCTTCTTAATTCCTGGCTGGAGAACTCTACACGTCAATCAAGTTTCAAAACGCAACTAAGTGCTTTACCCATATTAACTCACACATTATTTAATCCTCAAAATAGCCTCCACTGAGTAGATAATGTTCGTATTCCCCATGCTTCCTATGAAGAAATTGAAGCACAACTCAAGAAATCTGGTTCGAGAATCCATGTTCTTAACCACATTACAGTGTCTCCTTCCCATTGCTTGCTTCTCAACAAATATAACTTACTCCTTTTTTCTGGTATGTCTAGTAGATTTCTCATTATCCAACACAAGCGTAAGCAAATCCATGTTGATAGTAAAGTGTTCACACTCTTAACAATAATAGTTTGAAAACTCTTCAACTTTCTAACTTTTTACAAAGTCATAGTTGATGTTTTCAGATTGTGATTGTATAAAATACTGTACTAGGCCCTTGGACAGCATTAAAACTGAGATTTAACATTTAATAAAGAGTTGTTAGGTGCCGTAAGTTGAGTATAACTCATAGCAACCCTTTGAATAAAAATATCTGAACCCTGTTTTATCCTGTGCCATCCTCACACTTCCTGACACACAAAAGCCCATTGCAGCATTCACCATGTCAATCCATCTAGTTCAAGGTCTTCCTCCCTTCCCAGCATCATGTCCTTCTCCATGAAATAGCCCCTCTTAGCAACATACCCAAAGTATGTGAGGCAAAGCCTCATCATTCTTCCTTCCAGCTCCATCCTCTCTAAGACATATCCATTTGTTCTCTTGGTCATCCATGGGATGTTCAGTACTCATCTCCAACACCGCAGTTCAAAGACATCAGTTCTTTTTCCATCATTCTTATTCATTGTCCAGCTTTCAGATGCATAGCAAGTAATCAAACCATGGACTGAGTCAGACGCACTTTACTCTTCAAACTGACATCATTACTGCTCAATAATGAGAGATCCCTAACTGCAGATTTTCGTGTGTCTCATTTCCTGACTGCTGGTACGAAGGACATTAATTGTGGATCCAAGCAAGATAAAGCTGTTGGAAAGTTTCCATCTCCTCTCCACCCATCATGATGCTACCTATTGTTTCCTTGATACTGAGATGAAATCCGTACTGAAGGCTGTATTCCTTGCTCTTCTGCAACAAGTGCTTCAAGACCTCCTCACTTTGAGCAAGCAAGGTTGTGTCATCTGCATATTGCAGTTTATTGATGCGTCTTCCTCCAGTCCTGATGCCACACTCCTCTTCATAGAGTCCAACTTCTCATATAATTTGCTCAGCATACAGACTGACTGGGTATGGAAAGAGAATACATCCCTGACACACTCCCATCTCAGTTTTAAACCATGCAATGTTCCCTTGTTCTGTTAATACAACAGACTCCCCATCCAAGTATAGGTTCAGCATGAACACAATCAAGTGCTCTGGAATGCCTATTCTTCTCAATGTCAGCCACAACTTGTTATGACCCGCATAGTCAAATGCCTTTGCATAATCAATAAGGCATAAAGACACATTCTTTTGGTATTCTTTACTTTCAGCCAGGATACATGTGACACCAGTAATGATATTCATGGTACCATGGCCTCTTCTAAATCCTGCTTGAACTTTTGGCTGTTCCCTACCTACGTACCGTTTTTAGCCATTTTTAAATGATCTTCAGCAGTATTTTGCTTGCATGTGTCTGCATTCAGTTGGATCACCTTTCTTGGGAAAGGAAACAAATACAGACCTCTTGCAATAGTTGTCCTTCACATTTCCTGGCATAGACTTGTGAGTGCATCCAAGACTGCATCTGTTAAATTGAAATATGAATAAAGAGTAATGAGTCACATTTGAGTAAGGTGTTTGCTTTTTTAAAATAGTTTTGCCTTTTCCCCCTAGCATAGCAAATTTACCTTGAAATTTTAAAAAATCTGTTTACAAAGATTCAATTTTCAGATGCACATTCTGTTTAAAGGGACTTGCACTTGAAATTATTAATGACAGTCTAGTCCCACAAAACAAAGCAAGTATAGGCTTGAAAATAATTCTTCCAAAAGAGATAACAAACTCCTGGCAATAAAAACCAGGTCTGTTAATAGTTGAAAAAGTATGTGGATAGTAAGATCCTTTACTATCCAGAAGGTTCCAAGTCCTGAGCTTTTGGGTTATCTAAGGTGAAAGAAATCCTGAAGGAAAGAATAGAGATAAAGACTGTAATGTATTGTGCACCTGAGGCTGTGTCTTCAGAATCATAATGCCTTAAGACTACTGTTTCATGTAATTTCCTTAATACCAATTCTCGGCATGTCTTTTAATTTTTCCGCAGAAGCCAAGTGCATTATTCTCTAGTCGTACTCTATTAACCAAGGTTTTATATTATTCATGGGACTTTTGGTTCCATTTACTTTACATAATCAGCACTTTACTTTACACTTACATGTAAAAGATTGTATTACACCTAATGAGAATTAATTTTTAGAAAGTTAAAATGGTGTTTGTTCTTTAATCTTCCAGATAAATATGGAATTCCTTAAAGTCTTTATGACTAAAGTGATTTCTAAATTGTTGGTGACTCTGAGCACCAGGATCAGGGAGTTTCTGAGATTCTGCCCTTTCTCTTCACTGATAGTAGTCATTTGGAAGATATCTGGGGATGCATGCGCAGCAGAGTTTCACAACCTCAGCATTGTTAACATTTTGAATCAGATAGGTTTTTGAACAGGGGGTGGGAGGAGGCTGTTTTATGCACTGTGGGATATTTAGTATTTTTAACAGCTTCTACCAGTATGCAGTAGAAGCCCTCTTCCAATTGTGACAAATATTTCTCCAAAACAAAAACAAATCCACCAGTCTCCAATCATTCTGACCAATGGAAATACCATATTTGTCAGAGCAAAATAGCACTCCGTAGGTTCTTCAATAATCAATCTGATTCCTATGCGTACCATCAGGTGAAGTCTATGTATATAACCTGCGTTTATGTCTCTTAAAAAACGTATTTGCATGAATAAGTCATTGATTTTGCAAAATTCAATCATCCTCTCTCCAGCTCCATTTCTGTCACCAAGTCCATGTTTTCCAACTACTGAATCTTCTTCTCTAGTCCCAACTTTTGCATTCCAGTCACCCATTATTATCAGTGCATCTTGATTGCATGTTTGATTGATCTCAGACTGTAAAAGTTGGTAAAAATCTTCTATCTCCTCTGGAAAGAACCACTGAAGAAGCTCAATATCAGCTGTGAAAACTAGGCCAGGAGCTGATTGTGGAACAGACCACCAACTACTCATACGCGAGTTCAAGCTGAAACTGAGGAAAATTAAACCTAGTCCATGGGAACCAAAATATGACTTTGAGTCTATCCCACATGAATTTCAGAACCGTCTGAGGAACAGGTTTGAGGCCTTGAACACTAATGAGGAAAGACCAGATGAGTTGTGGGAGGGTATCATCCAAGAAGAGTGCAAATGTTCATTACAAAGACAAAAGAGGAAGAAAAGACCAAAATGGGTGTCAGAAGAGACTGAAAATTGCACTGGGGCACAGAGAAGCCAAAGCAGAGGGAAGAATTCAAGATACTAAAGAGTTGAATAGAAGATTTCAAAAGGCAGCACAGGACGACAAAGTAAAATACTATAATGAAATGTGTAAGGAGTTGGAGTCAGAAAATCAAAAGGGCCAAACTCGCTCAGCATTTCTTAATTCAAGGAACTGAAGACCAAATTCAAACCTAGAGTTCCTATAATCAAGGATGCTTTAAGCAGAATATTAAATGATCCAGGAAGTATTAAAAGAAGATGAAAGAATATACTGAATCACTGTATCAAAAGGAATTGGCAGACACAGAAGAATTTCATGAAACAACATCTGAGCAAGAGCCTATGGTGATGAAGGAAGATATTCAAGCTGCTTTGAAGGAAATAACAAAAAAATAAGGCCCCAGGAATAGATGGTATACCAAATGACACATTTCAGCTAACAGATGCTGCCCTGGACGTGCTCACAAAGTTGTGCCAAGTAATCTGGAGAACAACCACCTGGCCAGCTGACTGGAAGAGATCTATATTTGTTCCCATTCCAAAGAAGGGTGACCCAACAGAGTGTGGAAACT